CAAACTTTCTATAACAACCAGCCATGCCTAAGAAACTACGTACCTTAAATACAATAGTAGGCCTTGGCTAATTAGCAACTACCTGAATTTTCTGGAGATCAACAGAAATACCTTCGCCGCTCACTACATGCCCTAGAAAAAAATTCAGCCATAATTCACATTTGGTGAATTTAGCAAACAACTGGTGCTGCCTCAAAGTCTCCAACACAATCCTCAAATGTCTGGCATGATCTTCCTCAGAAGCAGAATATACCAGAATATCATCGATAAAGACGATCACGAACTGATCCAGATACTCCTTGAACACTCTATTCATCAGATCCATAAAAATAGCAGGTGCATTATTTACCCCAAAAGGCATAACCAAAAACTCGTAGTGCCTGTATCGAGTATTGAAAGCTGTCTTCATCACATCAGCTTCCTTTACCTTCACCTGATAGTATCCAGATCTCAAATCAATCTTTGAAAATACAGAAGATCCAGCCAGTTGATCAAACAAATCATCAATATGTGGTAACGAATATTTATTCTTGATAGTGACTTTATTCAGATCTCTATAATTCACACACATACGCAGTGTTCCATCCTTCTTCTTTACAAATAGCACAGGTGCTCCCCAAGGAGAAACACTAGGATGAACAAATCCTCTATCCACCAACTCCTGAAGCTAAACTTTCAACTCTTAAAGTTCCTTCGGTGCCATCCTGTACGGAGCTTTAGATATTGGAGTCATACCTGGAAATACATCAATACAAAACTCAACATCTCTATCCGGAGGTAAACCAACCAACTCCTCAGGAAATACATCTAAAAACTCTTGTATAACCGGAATATCAGAAATAGAACCCGCATCTATGTTCATATCCTGTACTGAAGCCAAAAATACTGTACAACCCTTCTTTCACATTCTTCTGACTTTCAACACAGAAATCAAACAAAATAAAACTCCTCTTAACCCTTGGAATACACATCTTTCACCATCCAAAAATAAACTCACTTGCTTCTTCAAACAGTCAATCTGAGCCTCATACAAACTCAGTCAATCGCTGAACCTCTTATATGAAGAAATCAGCAATAAAATCAAACATGATTTCCACTTCTTGCCAAAAATATCAATCTCAAAGAAACAAAACTTTCGGGCAATCAAATTATTCCCAGCCGGTAAAAGAATATAAAGTGAAACCGGTAGCAAAACAGAATCCAGATGTAAAATATCAAAATAACGCTCGGAAATAAATGAGTGACTAGCTCTAGAATCAAACAAAACATGACAAAGATGATCAAAAATGTAAACCGTACATGTCACCACATCCGGAGCATCATGAGCCTCTTGTTGATTCAAACTATACACACGTGTCTGAACTGGAGTTGAAGCCATAGAACCACTAGGCTCGCTCTGAGTACCACTAGGTGGTCTCCTCGTCATAGAACCTGATCCACCAAGTCTACAAAAGGATCCCTCAGAAAAAGTACGTGGAGGAACTGTCATCGGCCTTCCTGCTGGTCTAACAAAACTATCAGATTTGGACTCAGCTCATCGATCAAATCCAGTTTGTGGACATTCTGCAATCCGATGTCCTATCTGACCACATCTGAAACACTGACCAGTCGTCCTATAACACTGGCCAAAATGTCGTCGACCACAAGTCTGTAATATAGGTGCCCCACTAACTGATCCAGAACTAGTAGTTTTGCCACTACCGGAAATTGTAGTGGAGCCTGACTGCCCACTCCTCCTGGAGTCGCCAGAAACAAACCTCTTCTTTCCAGAAAAACCACTACTAGAAGCATCACCACTGAACCTCTTCCTACTAGCAATCCACTGCTGCTGAGTAGCCATCAGATCATTCTCTATCAGACGAGCTCTCTCCACAAGATCAGAGAAATTAAATATGTGAAATGGTACCAGGGGCTACCTCAGACTATCTCGTAGTCCTCTCAGAAATCTGTAGCACTTCTCAGCTGAAGTACTTACCAGCTGTGGAGCATATCATGCCAAAGCAGTAAACTCTGCCTTGTACTGCATAACTATCCTGCTCCTCTGAATTAACCTCAGAAAAGTCTCCTGCATTTACTGTCTTGTAGAAGGAGGTATAAATCACGATCGAAATACCTCAGAAAATTCTTCTCAAGTAATCAGAGAGTTCAGCTTGCCTTGGAATTTCTCCTCTTGCTAGCCCGTCCACCAGCGCTCAGCTTCCTCATCTAACAGAAAAATAGCTAACGGTACCTTCCTATCAGGAGGGCATTGCATACCGTCAAAGGTCTTTTCCAACCTCCTTAACCACTCCTCAACTGCTCTGGGCTCAACAGTGCCCTCAAATCTCAGAGGCTTTAATCTCAGAAACATATGTAGATGTCTATCCACATCCTCAGATCGAACAGTAGAGGCTCTACTCTGAGTCTCGCTCATCATATAAGCAACCAGTGTAGCAAACTGAGAAGCTGTATCAGAACCAATCACTGGGGCAGTACTGTTCATAGGAGCTGCCTGACTAGCTCTCTGTTCATCATTCATATCTAGGTCTGGCAGATCCATAATTACATAGAAAACTATGCAAATAAAATAACACAATAAAAAATCAAACAAACCAGAACTACCCCGACAAACTTACAGATCAATTCCTATAGCTCTGTCTTACAATCCAAGTTCCAAAACTAGTGCTCTGATACCACTAAAGTTTTGTCACGACCCAACCCGACCGAAATGGATTCCCGCTCGTATCGGATCATGACGGAAATTAAAATTCAATGATCTAGTTTTGGAAATTTGCTTCAGAACTTTCTTTCAAGTATTCAAACAAATAGAAACACAGAGCTGCTATAAACTTCAAATATACAGAACAGTTCATCTATATTTTCTTTCATCAAAATAATCATGTATAATACAGTGCATTGCTGCAAACAGAAAGAACAGAATAGAAAAGCCATGACTGTATAAAAATTAATAGTACAAAATACCTAATCACTGATCAGACACAGAACTGCTAGTCCAAGACTTTCTTCCCTTTTCCAGAACCTAAAACCACAGAAAACAAGGATGAGCTAATAGCTCAACAAGACTACACTCACCAATCAAAATCTTCAGAAATACGCATCAGAAAATACATCAGAAATCATACAGATACTTGATCACACAGAACTTAAACCATTGATACATAAAAATTGAATTCATTTCATATCACAGAACATTCACGTCAGATTTCACATAATAGACAGAATCGTATAGAACAGACAGAATCATACGGAACAAACAGAATCGTATAAATCAAACAGAATAGTACATAATAGATGTCAAATCAGATAAAATCACATTTCATATATCACATATCCCTGACCCTGACAGAATCTCAACAGATTCTGGCCCCTTATGCCTCCCTTTGTGCTTATAGCATCAAAACAGAACAGAAATACATAATTTTTAGAACAGAACTTATTTTCAGATTTCTCAGATTTCCCTAACACAGACAGAATCTCAAAAGATTCTAACCTCTTATAACTCCCTTCTGATATTACATCACATCAAAATATTCAATTCAGAAAATCAGATTACGTCAGAAAATTGTCAGCGGCATAACGATAGTATACAAAATTTACACAGAATGCACAAATTCAGAAATTCACTAAATTATCACAGATAACACACAACATCATTATAAGACTTTCATTGTACTAAAGTAACATTTTTCAACATCCTAATAATTCGTTATTCGGTTAAAACATCGTAGAATTCAAAACACCCGGAGAAAATTTTCCAGAAAATACTCAAAATGTGAAAAAACATCATCTTAGAGACATACCAAAAGTTACGAGATAAAAAGTTTATCAGTGCAAAACGAAACCAAATATTCGCTAACGGAAACAAAATTTGAAACAGAAAAATCATCAAAATCCTCGTTTCTGAAAATTGAGAAAGGCGGAATGTGCCTTACCTCAGGTCAGTCAACTTTCTCAACTGCAGCTATGGACGAAAATGGATAGAAGTAGCCCAAAAATCACTTTTTCTTCTTTTCCCTTTGGTGTTCTCTCTCCTGGGTTTTCTCTCTCTTCAAAAAGATCTCGATTCCATATATACCCATGCAGATCGTCCCGGGACGATTTGCCCTCTAGACGAATTTTGTTCAGACAAAATTATTATTGTATCTGGACGAGTTGTTCTCGGGAGAAATTTCATACGAACGAACCTCATTTCGTCATGGGACAAACCTTCCAGCCAGAATTTTCTTCACAACCTGTACCGATCGTCCCAGGACGATCCAACTTCGTCCTGGACGATCCTGGAAGGAAAACATGAAAATGAGCTTTCACACCGTCGTTGTAATGTCCCAAAATACAGTCTATTACAGTCGTCAACAATAATAGCTTGTGGTAGTTATCCTTAACGAGAATTGATGGTGATCATAGAGACCTAGGAACCTCTTTACTTCTCTCAATACTCCATCCTCTCCTCTCATTCTATCTAGACTAAAGCTCTATTCATAAGCTTTTTGATATATTAAAATGTTTAGAAGTTTCAATAAGGAAGTTAATGAAACTTGTGGCATTCAAAAATATTCTTATATAATTTTTTTCTATTCTCATCATTTTTTTTTCTAACTTTTTTTTTCCCAACATTTGTTCTGCAAATTACTTCAATTTTATTACAACAGATATCATCAATATTTTTAAAAGGGGTAATTACATTCATAATATTTAAATATTAGCTATTTACCAAATTAATATCCAAATATCAAAATCTGAATAAAATCCTCACCAAAATTTTGTCACTTTTCTCCTTTTCTCAATAATTTAATTATATTATGCAAAAACATAAAAGAGTTGGACAATTTAAAAAAATAATAATAATATGAGTATCAGAAATTTAAATAAGGATGTGTTTTACAATATTTAAATATATTTTAAAATTTTAAATTCAATAAACTATTTTTTTATCATTTAAATATATACAATATTTTTATTCTCATTACCGTTTCTTCCCTCCATCGTTCTCCAGAAGTCCGTTCCTACTGGTCTTTCCCAGCTCTGTTTTATCCGTCCCGCTTGTTTTATTTCCCTCCGCCTCCAGCTTTCTCTTCATCTTCTCCTCTCCCCCATTCACTCACGCGGATAATGAAATGAAGAGAGAAGCCATTGATCCGTCTCCAATAGCTTTTCTTCTCTTCATCTTAGCACTAATCCCCATCGCCGGCCACGCCCTCACCGATGCCGAAGCCGGCTATATCCGCCACCGCCAACTCCTTTACTACCGCGATGGATTCTCCGAAAAGGTTTCGATTCCTCCGTCCTTCTCTTTCCCAAACCCTCGCCTTCGCGACGCTTACATTGCTTTACAATCATGGAAACTCGCCATAATCTCCGATCCGAAAAACAAAACTGGCGATTGGGTCGGCCCAGACGTTTGTCATTATACCGGCGTATTCTGCGCGCCTCTGCCTTCTGATCCTAGCCTAATCGTAGTCGCGTCCATAGATCTTAACCATGGCGATATTGCAGGGTTCTTGCCAGAAGAGCTCGGCCTGCTCTGCGATCTTGCGGTTTTCCATATCAATTCCAACCGTTTCTGCGGCACAATACCCAATAGTTTCGATTCGATGCATCTGCTCTTCGAGCTCGATGTAAGCAACAATCGCTTCGCCGGTAAGTTTCCAGATGTTGTTCTCCGTCTTCCTTCGTTACACTATTTCGATATCCGGTTCAATGAATTTGACGGGGAGGTTCCAGACGCGCTTTTTGAAAAGAAACTCGACGCGATTTTCATTAATAATAATAGATTCTTTGATGAAATTCCCGATACTGTTGGGAGCTCGCCGGTTTCTGTGCTTGTTTTGGCGAATAATCGGTTTCATGGATGTGTTCCGTCGAGTTTGGGCAATATGTCCGACACATTGGAGGAGATCATATTTTTGCATAATAAGTTGAAGACTTGTCTGCCGAAGGAGATTGGGTTGCTGAAAAAGGTAAAGGTTTTCGATGCGAGTTTTAATAGTTTGGTTGGGGAATTGCCGGAGGAGATTGAGGGGATGGTGAGTTTGGAGGAGCTTGATGTCGCGCATAATTATCTGACGGGGGAGATACCGGAGGGGATATGTGAGTTGCCGAGGTTGAAGAATTTTACGTATTCGTATAATTTTTTTACTGGTGAGCCGCCGGCGTGTTTGAATGTGCCGGCGTTTGATGATCGGAGGAATTGTATCAAGGGAAGGCCGAAGCAGCGGTCGGCGAGACAGTGCAAGGCGATTCCGAATGAGCCGGTTGACTGTTGTTCGTTTAACTGCAAGCCGTTTGTGCCGGCAGTTCCGCTGCCACCGCCGCCTTCTCCTCCACCACCGCCATCACCTCCTCCACCAACGCCTTCTCCTCCTCCGCCACCTCCGTCTCCTCCTCCGCCATCGCCCTCTCCTCCTCCGCCGCCGCCACCACCTCCTCCTCCGCCGCCGCCACCACCACCTTCTCCACCTCCACCATCGCCTTCTCCTCCACCGCCTTCTCCACCATGCATTGAACCACCACCACCGCCACCTTCTCCTCCACCACCATCACCACCTTGCATTGAACCACCGCCACCGCCGCCTCCTTCTCCACCATCCACCCCACCATATCAATATAATTCTCCTCCACCACCCTCTCCTTCCCCTCCATACCAATATCCTTCACCCCCGCCGCCTTCACCTTCACCACCACCGCCTTCTCCACCATCCACCCCAACATACCAATATAATTCTCCTCCGCCACCTTCTCCTTCCCCTCCATACCAATATCATTCACCCCCGCCACCTTCACCTTCACCACCACCACCTTCTCCACCATCCACCCCACCATACCAATATAATTCTCCTCCACCACCTTCTCCTTCCCCTCCATACCAATACCCTTCACCCCCGCCGCCTTCTCCATCGCCACCACCACCTTCTCCACCATATGCCTACTCTTCTCCTCCACCACCCGAACTTCCTTGTGAAACTCCTCCACCTCCTTCACCAGTATACGAAAGCCCATTGCCACCTAACAACACGGGAGCCTCATATCAATCTTCTCCACTTTCCTCTATCTCATAATTTCACGAAGGTTCTTCCGGGCAAATCAAAACTAGGTGAACAATCATCTGTCTCCGACTTCAACTCATGCATCTTCGAGGCAGAAAAAAATAATAATAACAATAATATTTTGCTCATTCAAAATTTTAATATTAGATCAATTTATAACAAATAAAAAATCATGTATTTTACATGATTTTTTTAATTTGTTGATTTGATGTTAAATTTTTGCATAGGTAAAATATTATTTGAGTTGTGACATTGATGATATTTGATATGGTAGATCTTTTTTCTCTTTTTGTTAAATTTTATTTGATTAGAAAAAATTTGATTTGTGAATAAATGGTTGTGTGAAACAAAGTTAGATAGAATGAGAACAATTTTTTTGTTGTTTCTTAAAATAATTTTTATTATTTGAGTTGTGACATTGATGATATTTGATATGGTAGATCTTTTTTCTCTTTTTGTTAAATTTTATTTGATTAGAAAAAATTTGATTTGTGAATAAATGGTTGTGTGAAACAAAGTTAGATAGAATGAGAACAATTTTTTTACTGTTTCTTAAAATAATTTTTAGAAAGAAAATTTTAATTTTCGTACTAAAAATTATTTTAAAAAATAATAAAAAAATGGTTCCTAATGAATGATGAATGTGCAGAGAGAATGAGATGGAATGATACTCATTTGTTGGGATTATTATCACCTTCTATAATTTGTTCTTTTTATATCTGATTTATTTCAGTGTCATTTTTGTGATTCCTGAATCTGATCTTTGTGTGATTTATATTCTTCAATTTTTGAATGTTTACATATTCTGTGGTTAGCAAATTAAGGTCTTTCTCTTACGTTGAATATCATCATGTTATAATTATTAAAATAATTTATTACTGTTACGGGGGCAATTGCCTAAGATCATAGTATTTTAATTTTTTTAGAGGGTGAGTAAAAAAAATTGGAGGGGAAAAATTACCTGAAGATATATATATATTGGACAATCCTAACTCTGATTTCAGCAAAATTACAGTCGAACTAAACATCTCAAGAATACGAACCTAACGACACCAAATTCGACTCAATCCGAGCCCAAATGGGTTTAAATCGAAAACTCGAAGCAGATTTAGAAAGTTAAATCCATAAATTGAATGACCAAACGATTTCCAAATGTGACATGCTAATAATCTAATCGAGCGTCTCGACGAGACGAATCCAACAAACCTATGATTGTTGAATTCTGATATCATTAATACATTCAAATGCCCAGTAAATTGTCCATAATCAAGGGGATCAACATCGACCGTCCATTCAAACAACTAGCTCCCAACTTACCTTTGATCTCCCTCCTATTTACTAGCTATGCCACTCTCAAAAAATTATAAATAAACCTCTCATTCATCATGAAAACGGGACTGAAATAAGGAAGGGAGAAAAACTAGAGTTCTCTTGCCAAAAGAATCCTCCTCGACTAATAACAGACTTCCGCTCGGTCATCGATTCATATTGAACTTCGACCGGCCACCGGCTGACGTTGGACTTCCGCCTACCCATCGATTAAAGCCGGACTTTCGCCCGGTCACAGACTGATTTCAGACTTCCACCCGACAATGATTAACACTGGACTTGTGCTCGGCCACCGATTGACGCTGGATTTTCTCCTGGCTACCGGTTGACGCCAAATTTCTTCCCAACCACCAAACATCGTTAGATTTTCATCCAATCTCCGTTTGTCGATCGCTACATTTCAACCCAACGGTTGACTTGTAATATAATCATCCTCAATTTCAAGGATGAATTAAGTCACTTTTTTTCTATTCAAATACTAATTGAATCATTTTAATTGGGCGTGACCCCATGGTTTTCTCTTTTCTGAGGTTTTCTACGTAAAAAAAAATCTTGTGTTTCTAAATTTTCGTTTGTGTGCAGGATATTTGTACAACACTGAGTTGAAATATTATAACTATATCTCCGCGTATATTCTACCCCGCAACATTCATAATTATTGAAACGATGAAATTATTGATGACATTTATATCACATTTTTAAGGATATTATTTTGCCATAATCAATTTTATCATTTTGATATAAAAATAGATAGAAATGAAGATATTTATAATAGTTTTGAAGCCTAATATTAAATTTAAATAATATATATATATCAAATATGAAGACTCATGCTAGACATATAAAAATCATAAAATAATTAATTTTATATAGAAACATATGAGTAATGCCACGTGTCATTATGTTAAGGGATCCTAATGAATTAAAAAAAAATCTTATTACTTAATTTCTTTCGAAGTTATTGAATGCAAAATACTCTTATATGAGGAAGAGCTCACTGAGAGAAGTGTTTGAGTTATTGAATTTTTCATTATTGATATATCATATATTATATTGATCGAGCACAAATCTCGATGTAAAATCAAGTTGGAAGCATAAAAAATTTAATCTGGGATCATTTGAACTCCGATTTTAGCAAACTCAGTGACGAACTGAATGTCTCGGAAATATAAATCCAACAACACCAAATTCAACTCAATCCGAGTTCAAATGGTTCCAAATCAAAGACCCAAAGGGCATTCAGAAGTTCAATCCATAGGTTGGATTACGAAATAGTTTCCAAACGTGACATGCTTATAGTCGAATAGACCGGCTCGACGAGACGAATCCAATGAACCAAGATTGTCGAATTTTGAAATCATTAAAACATTCAAATGCCCAATAAATGGTCCATAATCAAGGGATTCAACATCGGTAGTCCATTCAAACCACTCCCAATTTATCCTTGATCTTTCTCCTATTTACTAGTCATGCTACTTTCAGAAAACTATAAATAAATCTCTTATTCCTCACGGAAGGGCCCAAGTAAGAAGAGTAGTAAGAGAAGAAAGATTTCTCTTACCACTAGACTCCTCCTCGAACACCGTCGAACTTCAACCTAGCCACTGACTATCGCCAGACTTTCACCTGGCTACCAACAGACGCCGAATTTTTGTCTAACCTCCAACTGATAGAGTATTTCTGTCTGGCCACCAATAGATACTGGATTACTGTCCGGCCACTATCTGACGCCGCATTTCTGCTCGACCACCAACTAATGCCTAATTTCTACCTAGCCACCAACTAATGTCGAATTTCTGCACGGCCACTAATTAATGTCGAACTTTGGTTAGTTGTCAGACTTAGGCCCGTCGCCATATTTTTGCTTGATGACGGACTTCTATCCAACACCGGACTTCTACCCGTCGTCGGACTTTATCCAGATTTCTACCTATCGCCGGACTTCCGCCTATCAGCGAATTTCTACCCGACACCATACTTCCACCATTCGTCGAACATCTGACCGTCACCAGATTTCTATCTGATGTCAAACTTCTGCCCATCGCTGGACTTTTGTCCGATTTCTACCCAACGTCGGACTTCTACCCGTCATTAAACTTTTGCTCGTCGTTGGATGTTCGTTGGACTTCTACCTAACGTAGGACTTTCGCGCATCGCTGGATTTACACATAACACCAGAATTCCACCTGTCGCCAAACTTTTTCCCTTTGTCAGACTTTCGTCGGAGTTCTACCAGACGTCGATCTTCCATCAACCGCCGGAATTCTGTCCATCACCAGACTTCTACCCGACGCCGGACTTCCACTCATCACTGGACTTCTACCAGTCATCGGACTTCTACATGATGTCAGACTTCCGCCATTTGCTATATTTTTACCCATCGCAGGACTTATGCCCGTCACTGGACTTTTGCCCGTCATCAGACTTTCGTCGGACTTCTACCTGACATCAAACTTTTGCCCATTACTAGAATTCTAATCATCACCGGACTTCTGCCCGTCAGAGGACTTTTTCTAGTTGTGGGACTTTCTTCAAAGTTCTACCCGACGCATATCGTCAAACTTCTACCCATCGCCGGATTTATGTCGGACTTCTATCTTAAGTCATACTTCCGTCCATCGTTGAACTTTTACCCGACGTCAGACTTCCGCTCGTCTCTAGACTTCCTCCCGACTTAAAATTACTCTTGGACTTCCACCCGATATCGGTCCTTCTGACCTTCATCGCGTGCTATCTATGGTCCTTCTAACCTCTATCTCCAGACGATAGTCTTTATGACCTCCGTTGCCCATCGACTACAGTCTTTTTAATCTCCATCGCCCACCGACTATGGTCATTCCGACCTCTGTCGCCCGCCGATTACGATTCTTCGAACCTCTATCGCCAATTACTGTCTTTCCAACCTCTATCGATGTACAATGGTCTTTTTGACCTCTGTCGCCCACTGACTACGATCCTTTCGACCAACGTTACTCGACTACGGTCTTTCTACCTCCGTCAACCGAATGAATGTGTCAATAGTGATTCTTCTTATTCCAACCATGTAATGCACTCCATATGATGTATATTTGTTACATCAAGCTAAGGCCTCCCCCCCAAGGAATGACCTTATTTGTAATCAACTACAAATACTAGTGGATTCATTCAAACTAGGTCATGCCCCATAGTTTTTCCTTATTCATGATTTTCCACGTAAAAATTTTGATCTCTTTAAAAATTGCTCTATCTCTCTTATCTGATTGTGTATTTGATCTTTGTACAAAGCTATGATGTTAAATTTTATATTTCTCTATCACCACGAATATTCCAGAACAAAATAATTATCATATTATTAAATAATAATTATTACAATTACAAGCTAGAATTGTAAACTTTAACTACTACAAGGAAAACAAATTCTCACCTTATCTTGCTTTCTAGCTGAAGAACCATTCTTCCTTTATATTTGTACTTATTTTATACTTATCTCTATTTGGTCATCTTTCTTATTGATTTCTAAAGCAACTTATTAATATAAAAAACTTTCATGCTAAAAAGCAATAAGGAAGAAACCCCAAATTAGGATTGGTTTCTTACTACTTTCTAAAGCAACTTTCTAGTATAAAAAAATGCTTTAGAAAGCAGTAAGAAAGTCATCCCAAACAAAACCTTACTCTCTATTTTTGACAACTTTCTCGTTGTTT